GCTAATTTTTCATTTTGCCTGCTTCCAAAAAAAATCCTAATGTTTCTACATCATATAACATGCTTTATTTTTAAACGGGTTAGCCTTATGCTGCTAATTTTCAAGGTTCACATAACCCCTGGTTCCTAGAAGTCTGAAAAGCTTCAGTTATGTTGTTTTTTCCATTAAAGAAGAAACAGCATAATTTATATATCCTGATTGACAGAAATTACTATTAGCAAGTCTGTTTTACTAATGTGAATTTGAGATATGTAGTTTTAAAGTTGGATGGTTTTCGAAGATGGATCTCAAAAGTATATTAATTTTTCCGTACTTTCCGATTGTCCATATACCCATCTGAAAAGCGCCAAGCTAATATGTGAAAGACAACATCCATTTAAAAAACAGTAGTACATGGAGAATTCCATAAAAAGGCAAGAACTGATAAAATTAAAAAAGTAAGGAACATCTAATAATAAAACCCAGGCCTTTCTGAAGAAATCCTTATGTAACTTTTTTATGCTCCTGTTCTTTCCATCTACACAGCAAGCAGTCTGTTTTCGCTGAAAAAAATTGACCGTCAGCACACAAATTTTGGTTCATAAAATTTGATCGTTTTTGAAGTACTGGTAGATGTTTGCATTCTCCACTGCTGGACAAAACACCATATTTCTGAAGAAATGCAAATGCTTTCATTTTCATAAGCCAGCAAGCTATACAATCCCATGACAGTTCCGTAAAAAAAAAAAAAAAAGTGTACTTACTCTAACAACACTAATGTCATCCAAATTTGAAAGTGAAAATACACTACCATCTGCTCATACACCCACATGCCTGGGTTGCTACATAAACATACTTTGCCAACATCATGGATTGCCTATTTAGCCAACAGCCAACATAGGGTGTTGCCCGGTAACACTTTTCAAGGGAGGTTGCAGATGGTCACAAAGTGCTAATTGTTCATTCTTCTCAATAATTTATATGTTCAATAGAAACACAAAAATATTTCTAGTATGCGTAATATTTTGCTGTAAGTAAAAAATCAAGTTTTAATTTTATTCTTTTTTTATTCTGAGCTTGCTTTCAATTCAGGAAACTGAAAATGCGTATGGGATGATAATGGTAATTTTATAATTTAAATGTGTATTACATATTTATTTTGTTCAGTATTCAGGCGCATGCAATGTATATAATTTTTTAAGTATGATAAAGAATGAAATCAATTCTTTTTAAAAGGAAAGTATGCAGAGTTTAATACATATGGTGTAATAACTTACATACTTAAACATAAAATAGTTTTACCCAGACCTTTGAAGTATAATCTGCATATTTCTTTTCTACTTCACTCTCATGCTAGCTTGCTGTCTGTTCCTGGTTTGTCACTTTTAAAGTGGAATATTACAAGATTGTGAAAGTTTGCTTGAAACTATCAACCATTGCATGTAATCTTTCTCAACACTTTTATTACTTTAGTATGTAAATTATACTTAAATAAACAATGCCATCTACAAGGTCACAATTGTGTATTTATTAGAAGAAGAAAAAAACCTTAAGTAATAAGTTTTTCTATTATTTCATGTATGCACCATGTTCACAAAAATCCTGAGTTGTGCTTTAATTTTGTACTTATTGCTTATATCAGGGTTGCCACGCTACCTGGAAAACCGGGAAACCGGAAAAAGTCAGGGAATTCGGAAATTGACCAAAAAATTCAGGGAAAAGTCAGGGAATTTAAGTGTTTTAGTCAAAATTTGGGAAAGTCAGGGAATTTCATACAACGATCCGCCAAAAAAGGCGAGTTTTGCGCCGACGTCGGAAGAGATCACTTTTTTGGCGAATTGTGTGTCACGTGAGTGTCATTCGGGCAGCTGGCATAGAGCCAATTTTCGCAGCTCCAATTTGATTGTCTTTTTAGAAAGGCAAGCAAGTTTCCCGCAACTTTTGGTTTCCAGTAACCTCGAGAATCGCATGTGCAGTGCATGAACTAAAGAAAGTACCTGTTCTCGTATAAAACAAAATGGGTTTAATCCTAGTATACGGTACCATGAAGGTTAGAATTAAAAAAATATGTATTGTTAAGAAGAAAAACCTCTCTGCAACGGACGTGGCTCGGTTCCAGCATAGCGGGAAACAGCTGTGCATGCGCGATATAATATCTGTCGCCAAAGCTCGAAACCGGTGTCGAAGTTCGAAGTTCACGTTATCAAGAGTTCATAAAATGAATATCGTTTAAAATATCTTTAAACTCTAAAGGAAAAGAAAATATTTTTTGACGCAAGTAAATTAATTCATGGATTAGTTATTTTGACGGGGGGGGGGGGAATCTACGAAATCCGTTTTTAAAATTATTGCGAAAAATCCAAGAAAAAACGTTCTTTGATAAAACGTTTCTTCTTGGATTTTTCGCAATAATTTAAAAACGGATTTTCGTAGTTTTCTTTTTTGTCAAAGAACGTTTCTTCTTAACACGTGTTTCTCAATTTCCTGTACACATCGCGGAGAGGGAAATTCTGGCCGTTCCGTCGTCAAATCCCTTGGCAAATTTTCCCTCCGCTTTTTACATAGACGTTCTTTGGTCAGAATAATCTCCATGTATGGTACAGCGGGATTTGGCGACATGATGATGAGCAGTAAACGGGTCATTTTGTTCTTGGCGACAATTTTCAAAATCATGCGAAAGCCGTATCGTATACTAGGATTTTACCGCAAAATCTTTTTTTTTTTTTTCTTTTCTTTTCTTTTTAATAAATACCTTGTCATTTTGCAGTAAAATAAAAAAATTGTAATCAATCATCTAGGATAACCATATGTAACTATATTCGCTAAAATATCGTTGAAAATTCTAATTAAATTTTTAAGTAATTATTTTTATGTTATTCATATCATTTAATGTTGCTTCTTCCCTCTAAATTTATTTATCATTAGTAAATATTTCCAAATTTCAAGAAATTTTTTCTGTCATGATCGTGAAATTAATTCTAGCAGTATGATGACATTACGAAATTTAATGCACATATTTTTTCCTTATGTATGCTGCGAAATAAATATAAAATACCTGAATTTAGTAAAAAAATATCATTAAAAAGATTTCTTTCTTTCGTTTAGCTGCAGAATGTCTGCAAAAAAAGCCTTATTTTATTCCAGATTGGGCAGATTCAAATTTCAATCTTCAGTGGAGAAAACAACTCCTATTATAATTATATTTGTGTTTTCAAGTGTTAAGGTGCCTTTTAAGAATACACCTCACACAAATTAAATTTACCTAAAATCTAACCTAACTTTTAGCATTGCGTTGTGATTTATAAGGACCGGATTAGCCTCGTGTTGAACTGGGGATGATCATGAGTAATAATTAAATAAAACGTACAGTTGTTATCCAATGTATATATCTTAAATTTAAGTTTTTTAAGTGGAAAAGTAAAAATTATCAAACAAAGTGTACCAAGAATAATTAAGAATAAATGTCCTCTGGGATTTATTGAATAATTAAGTGAATTTGCTACACAGTACAAGTAATACCATAATTAATTTACCTCTTAGCACAGCCAACGTACATTACGCAGATAGACTGGAATTTTCTCGAAACATACCTGGAAAACCTGGAAAAGTCAGGGAATTTCATTCTCCTCTTTGAGTGGCAACCCTGTTATATAGATATATTTTCAAGTATAAGAATAGTTTAAATCGCTCAGATGTTCATGTTTTGACAATTTAAATTTAGATAAGTCAATGTTTTAGGTAATTTATAATATTTATTTTTATTTTAAACTCAGTTTTATATGCCTGCAGTGGAAGAAACTGAGGAAAAGTTTCCACAGAAATATGGTACTTTGCAACAAAATTATTGTAGGAAACAGTAACCGTAAATTTGTTTTTTAAATGATTGCTTACAAATTTGTGCCAGAACAAAAGAATTAAAAATCTGCTTTTCAAAGATTTATTGACTAATTTTTGGAATAAATAAATTCCCAATTAAAATGTTAAATGTGTATTTAATAATATGTATGTAGGTGATAAATACTTTTTGCAGATGTAAGTCATTCTTCCCTCACACTAAGTAGATCTTATTGCAACTGCTTAGAAGTCACCAAATTTTCAGAATGTGCTGGTCTTTAGCACCATGCGTATACAGTTTTTCAGTTTTAACAAGTATTTTCATATGTGTCTTTTATTTAATTCTACGTTCAAATGATTTTTACTGACAAACAGAGCAAAATTACTAAAGGAAAACTTTCTTTGAGTGAATTCGTAAAAGAATTACCACAAAATATCACTCTGAGCAAAAGAAACAGAAACACGTTTATAAAGATATTTGTTGATTGATTTTCAGTATAAGTACTCAATCAAAACACAAATAAGCATGTAGTAAATACTTTTTTTACAATTATAAATCAATGCTGTTGTGTGTGTGTGTGTGTATAAAAATTCACCAAACTTGCCCATATAGTTTTGCTAGTATGTAAGTATTCTTTTTCTCCTGTAAAAAAATTGTCAGACTGCATTAGGATGGTTGTGCTAATGTATAAGTGCCAGAATTTTTTATGCATAACATGTAATAAAATATTTTATAAAAAGTACTTAGTACTAACAGCTTATCTTATATATGCATTCTGAACTGCTTTTATCATGCATTGCACCTCACTTGTTTCTTGTGTACAAGGAATGCATATGGGTTAACGGTACAGAAAAATTGCTGATCTAGAATTAAATGCTTGCTTTTTTAGTTTGGCATAGATTTGTGAATAAAACTATTTACTTCAAAGGCAATTAGACACAGGTCTTCTTCTTCAGGAGGAAAAATACTTTTAAATTGAGAAAGGCTCTTGAATATTTATGAAATATATCATGCAACTCCTCCTGACCTAACCTATCCTTGATCTGGGTTCAAAGAAGTATAATATGTGCCCACCTTCTCTGAATATTTTGTCTGTCTGACATAAACTGTGGTTAATGGTTTTGATAGTTATTTGTATATAATGGAATTTTGAACTGTTTAATTTGCATTGATATTTTATTTTCAGGGTAACTAGTACTTGTGTAGTTCCTGACATTTTTCATGCTAGGCATAATGCAAAATGGAGGAGCTATATATATCGTTTAGCAATTTTAAAGCCTGAAATTAAAACTGAATTTTCAATCAAAGCACCATATGAAGAATATTTACCTATTTCTGAAGTAAACAGGTGTCACATAGTTTCGTGAGTAGTAATTTTTGTTTTTTAATGGAATAAATTGTATAATATTTATTGCAGAGTTTTTTGAAAGACTTGTTAAAATTTTAAATTGATTTAAATATGTCTTTTAGAATTCTTTCATCTTTAATTTATGAAAATTGAAAATGGGCTTTAAAGAAAGAGTTTTTCTTGTGCTCTACAACCAATTTCCAGCCAAGACTATCTCAGATCAGCTTCTGTCATTTTGATCTATCCAATGCTACAATCCTCCACTTTTTAAGTACTTTTCCTCATTGTCTAGCCATATCATCTGTGTCCTTCATCTCCTTCTTGTACCGTCTGGCTTTTGAGATGTCAGTTTCTTCCCATAGTATTTCATCTTCATATCCATATATATGACCTATCCATCTTAGTTAAAAGGCTTTAGTAACTTTTATTATAATATTTAATTCTCTTCTGCCGAACCGGCACAGTGGTTAGTGTTGTTGACTACCGTTCCGGAGGGCCTGGGTTCGAATCTCGGAAAAGGTAGCGTTGTAGATGGTTAACTAACTCCATGCTCCATGGAGTAAGTTATGGTGGTACACTGGACACATCACCCCAAATTCTGAAAGCATGCTACAAAACTATTACTGAAAGGTTTATTATATATGAAGTCGCAGTATGGAGCGAAAAAGTCACTATAAGTATGAGAAAGGCACTTCTAAACATGCGAAGAATGTAGCTGCTGATCTGCGAGGGATATAGAACTACATCAACAATGGCACTCCAGTTTCTTGCAGGACTCCCGCCGCTAGACCTAATTGCAGAAAGAAAGCCATTAATTTCAAGAGTGCACCACTTTGAAAAGGATGGTACACTTTGGCAAAAAAACTTACTTTGCTAGGGATTATGAAAAACACAGGCCGAGGTTATTAGGTCACCTTGCGGATATTGATCTGAATGCTGACATCTTTCTTAATTACTTGGCCCCACATAAGACAGCACTCTCACTGTACACAGATGGATCCAAGACTGCAAAAGGTACAATAAGTGACTTCTGTGTTTTCGAGGATAGAATGGTTTTGCATTAGTGGAGAAGATGACTGAACGAATCTAACTCAGTAAATCAGGCTGAAATTGCTACACTAAAGGCAGCCTTAGTATATGTGAGAAATAATTTCGACAGAAAAATAGCCATTTTTAGTGACTCTGCCTCCAGTCTGGAGGCCATAAGAGGGCATAAAAGTCAGAGTCCACAAGTACAGGAAATTTGCCGTCTGCTGCTTCAGCAGCCACAAGCAGTTCGTCCCAGTCTTCATTGAGTCCCGGCACATGTTGAGATCCAAGGCATTGAAGAAGCAGGCAGGGCAGTAAATTTGGCAGCAAATGATGTGACTCTACTTGAACATCCAGTGAAATGTCCCATCTCTCAACTTAAAAGATTCACACACCAACAGGTCATTGCAGAGTGGCAGAGGTGAGAAGCAGCTACAACAGGCAGACAAATGTATTGTTACGATTTTTGTATTGATTTATTTAGTTTGCTATTTTTAATAGAATTGTTATTAAATTGTTTCATTTCCCCATGCAATGTTGAACACAACTTATTTGAAGAGAAAGCTATGCCGTAAAAATTAAAAGTATGTTTTGGGCTTTGAAATCTAGCCTCTGGTTTTCGGGAAGAGTCTGCAGGATATCCGCTGCATTTACTCTCGGAGAAGCGGCAACGTTTTGGGCTTTGAAATCTAGCCTCTGGTTTTCGGGAAGAGTCTGCAGGATATCCGCTGCATTTACTCTCGGAGAAGCGGCGAGATGACAAACCTTAGCTTGAGAATCTCATCCATTCGTTTCTGCCACTATAGAAAATTCTGTTTTATACGCTCGTCAAGAGGTCTTCGCAATATGAATTCTTTTAGAAAGTGGGAGAAGCACTCGGAATCAATATTGAATTAATCCACTTCTTCACAGGCCATGGCCCTTTAAAATCTGATCTATGTCGCTTCTACCTAAGTGAAGTGGAGAAGTGGGTAACCCAGATCACTATCTCTTCCCTTGCCCTGACATTACTCATCTTCATCAAAAGAAACCAAGTCAACAATTTCGGCTCCAATGGGCAGAAAATTTGATCAAGAACAACATAGCCAGAGTAAAGCTGAGAAAACTTATTATGTATTGTGCAACAAAAAACTCGGCTATCAGTTGGCATCTTGCTTGATCAGAAATTAACCAAATAGCTAGGCACACACATTCTGCAAAGGAGAAGCACAATAGTTAGCCTCATTGCACAAAGTATAATTAGCAGTATTTAACTACCTACTACAATTGTACTTGCATATCATGTCTTTTTTTTTTTTTTTTTTTTTGGTTCACTTGTAATTGCATTTATATACACTCTGCATCTATGTATAACCATTGATTCATTTTGCTTCTCATTGTTACAATGTAATTCAGGCTTCACTTCAATTGTATTATAATTATTATGTTGTTTGATTCTGTTATCATAATTGCTTCATTCAATAGAGTAAGTTATATTAATAGCACCTTCAATGCATTGTTCAATAGTGTTTTGTGAAGTTAGCGTGAAAGTGGTATAATATATGATAAGTAAGATACAATAACACGCCAAACAAATATTAAGTTAGAATTCAAACAACAAAAATCAGCATTATATTTACAAATTTTCACAGGACTAGTTTTGATGGTTTTACCGAACCATCAGCCTTAGCTGCAAAAGCACAAATGAACGAGATAAGATATAATGATTAGATGAGACAAGATAAGAAAGAGCTGGCAAGCTACTGTGGAGTGCTGCTAGTCTAGCTACTGGCGCCATCTGTTGGTGAAACCAGAACTAAAACATAATTTCTTTAAAGGTTGAAGGCAAAGATGGATTGGAATTAGGGTCGTTAACTAGAACAGAAAGATTTTTTAAATGTGAAGTCATATATCTGTAATGCAGTCTCATGTATGTTAGATTTATGATACTGTAACTGTGCTTGTTAAGTCCTAAACTTACAACCAGTAATCTCTATCTAAACACAGGACTATCAGTGATCTCACTTAGTCAGTGATTAGCACTTAGATTGCTTCTGCAAGAAGACAATAATGCTGTGAGGCAAATATTATAGTTGTAGGGTCAGCAATCTTCTTCTGCAGCATAAAAGTAAAAGTATTGGTGCAGCATGATGGCACTCTAAATATACGGCGAGCCAAAAGTCCTCTTGTATGGTTTAGTGGAAGGGGAGAGGAGTGAGAGATCCTTGGACCTGTACCCCCAGGGTGTTGGAGGCATAACTGAGCTAATCTGCACTGTCACCTGGAAGGTGCTCAAGGCTTTTGTCAACGACAGGCATATTGTGTATGCTCCTTGCCATGAGAAATTTTGTGGGCTTAGTCTAATGTTTCTTATTGTCAGACAAGTGAGCATAAGTAACAAATTTTTGCTGTAGTTCAAAATTTTATCTAATTCTCCACACTCCGTTTTCCCTTACTATAAAGAAAGATTTAATTTCTAAGTTAAAAGTGCTGGTTTCTTGTAGAAGGCTAATAGAAACTAAAAAGACTTAAATAATGATAAACTAAGTAATAAATAATTATTACTTAGTTTATACAGATTGTAATGTTATTACAGATTATAATTTTAATGAAGAAAAATGGCCCCAAATAAGCTATAATATTAAAAAACATTGAATTAGATGGGCATTCACAGCGTATGCTCAGGAGAGAAAAGCAAAGCATAGCATATACATATAGCGAAGGAGCAAGATTGCATCATCACAACACACCTCGATTGAACTGTGTTCTGTCTAACCACACTAGCGAGAGAAGTTTGTCTGAGAGCCAAGATGGGTCAGTTTAATTGAAGGGGTGTGGGGGAAAAGCGTGGGTATTTTTCCTTCTCAGAAGTCGCAGGGGTGTGGTTGAAAAACATGGGTATTTTTTCCTCTCAAGGTCAGAGGTCATTTAGTGCTTTTTCTTACAATCGTTGAGCATCGCTGTTACTGACCTTCTTTTAATTCATTTTTACGATAAGTTATAGTGTTCCAGAAAGCTCTAGAAACAAACCTTTCTGCTGTGATTTTCAAGCAGTTAGTGTGTAACATGTTAAAAGTTTGTGATGAAGAATCACAATTAGAAAGACTAACCATTCCAGTTACACAGCCAACACGTAGAGCGAGTAAGATGAATGGCGTTTCTATTGCCAGCATAAACAGAATTTGTAAAGAATCTGAAAGTAAAGAAAATGTTGAATTCTCTTCTCCTAAAAAAAGAAAAAATGAGAGAAACTGTAAATACAGACTTAGATAATTTTGATTTGGATATTTTAAGACGAGCAATTCAAGACTTTTATGTCAAGGAAAAGAAAGTGCCAATTATAGCCAAACTGCTTCCTGTATTAAAAGACAGAATTTTCTTTGGCAAAGAGAAACGCTAAGAAAGATTCTCCGAGAAATTGGTTTCATCTGGAAAAAGTCTCGGAATAAAAATGCGTTTTATTAGAAAGACCTGACATTGTTTTGTCAAGAACAATGTATTTGAGGAATATTAAACATTACAGAGAAGAATCCCATTCCTTAATTTACATATGTCTCAAGAAATGTGTCTCACGAAATATCAGTAGATTACAAAGATTGAAAATTTACTTTTTAATATGGAGTAAGAAATGTGAGATCTATTGATTTTTTTTTTTTTTTTTTCAAATCCTTCTGTTTAAAATATCTGACTAATACCTATAGCCCACAGAAAAAAAGGTTAAAGAAAGGTTGATGTACTATGCCTCAGTACTTGGTAATGCAATGTGCTTTTGTGATTCTCTTGTTATGGTATTTCCAGCAAGTTTGAATAGATAACCTGTATATAATTTTCTAGTATCAACATCAGATGGTCAGTCGGCATCAGTATATCCAATAAGTTTTTTTCCAGTCTTTTGAAATTTTAGACAATGATTTTTAGTTCTTGTCAAGTATCTAAGAACTAGCTTTACTGGCAACCAGTGTAGTTTTCCAGGGTTGTTTTGAAATTGGCTCAGTTGACAGATAGCA